CAAAAACCAAGATAAAGGTTTTTCGACCCCTGAGGGGATACAAAGCTGAATGCTGATTCTCAGAAGAATAAAATTGAGTTCGGACTTTTCAGATGCATATACCGTAGTAAGACACATCTTCGTTTTGAGAACACGCAGATTTTCTCTAATTTATAGAGTAGGTTCAACTTTTTTGAAACCTCAGAATCTTTCAAAATCTTTCAAAATCTTTTAAAATCTTAAAATCTTAAAATCTGCTTTTCCCCCCTTGTATCCCATAAGATAATATGCCTATTGGCACACTATTCTCTAATAAAATCGAATCAGATTGGATGTGGTAATGGCAGGAAAACTTATCTCAGATCTGCCCTGATTTCCAGACAATGTAAAAACGATCTAATCATTATCTCAGGTATGCAATATTTTTATAACATATCTAGTTTAATTATAATATTCTTTGTGAATGATGTCAATAAGCTGCGAATATTAAAGTCGAAAATGATAATATAGTATTTTTACCAGGTTATTAATTCTTGTAATAGACAAGCTTAATCCATAAATCCTTCTGTGAGAGCACGGCGTGATGAAAATAACTATTCCATAACGATCGCTGATAGAAGGATCGGAAGAATTATATCAAATTTCAATAGCAGGAGTCAATAAAACTTGATGACTAAACTCTGATAAAGTTTGGATAACAGATGTTTCAAAAATTATCAAATTTCATCAAAGATTTTAAAGAAATCTTATAGAAATGCGATGGTCGGAATATCTACCGGTTTACACAGTCGGAGATGTTGGGAAATTCAATAGAATGCGACGTCGGATCTGTTAGTGATTTTTTCACACAAAATCCCATCAAATTTTGTGACTAATTGGCTCTTATAACTTTCGATCGAATCCTTTATCATTCATGCATCTGGGCAGTGACATGAGAAAGACAAGATTGTATTTTTCTTATTCATTATGATGTTAACGCAAGTAGAACAAACTGATTTTGTGATTTCATTGGTTTCGAATGACTTCATGTAATTTCAAGACCAGGTCACACGCAATGTGATTGATTGTTTCTCCCAGTCAATCAGATCACTGCAAACTTCTTCTTTCTTATAGTGAAGGTTAGGACATGAAATTGTATTTTCAAAATGATAGATTACATCGACAAATCCCCAAATTGGCAGAGACACCCCTGTGATGTACTGTAACTATAAGAGAAAAACTAAGAGGAAACAAACTGATTTCGTGATTTCCTTGATTTCATGTGATTTCACGTGATTTCGAAGGATTTCAAGTGATTTCAAATTGATTTCTGTCATTGAAATCAGTTTGTTCTATCTTATGTTAACGTAACACGTTCTTGGAGTACACTTACATTTATTAAGCGAATATTTTTGTTTAATTAACACTGACATCATAATGATGAATGCCATATTTTTCTCTCAATTCACGCAACAAGGTACGATTGAATGGACATAAAATTTCTATACTGTCATCAACGCCCTGTTTTTCTTTCCATACTCCACGTTCATGGATGATATCGTCGATCCAAAAGTCATAACAATCAAAATCAGTATCTGGTGCTCTCGACGTAACGAGCTCGCAAAATTTTTTATCTTTTTCGCACATTTCAATAAATAATTTTCCATCTGATGCCAAGTTTTCTATCGGGTTCACCGGCATAGAAAAGCCGTTCATAATGAGTTTAGCTGCTTCCCGAATGAGTTTTACCAATGTTTCTCTTTTTATTCCTTTGGGTCTTTCATTAATCGGGTAATAGAGACCCTTCAAATAAGGTGCACCAGATGTCATATACTGTTCCATGTATGTTGTATACGTTATATTTCCGTCTTCCGGTGTCAATGGTTCTAAGCCACCGACATTAACGACCACTGATCCGTCCGGCAGAAATGTTTGATACATCGAACCTGTGCCTGGACCTGTGACATGGATATCCATCGTGCGCATTAATCGTAACTGGGTCATAAAATAATTTTCTGTCAATTCGTGAGTTGGTGATCTAGCATCTATTTTAGGGGCATTGAATCGAGAGGATTTTCTTTCTCGAGGTTTGATTCGGTTATAATATAAATATGAAACATTAATCAGTGGCCCGTCTAGTTTGCTGATTTCAATTATGCCTTCATTCTGATGCATAATAGTATAGTTATTAATTTCGTATATCGCAGCATCTATTTCTTTCCTATCAGGTTCGGTGTATCGTTTATTATCAATTATATAAGCACGTAGTACATCTTGTCGATTTCGACCTTCTGCGGAATGCTTGCGTCGTCTAGTCGGTGGAATAATTCCATGCTGGACATACATTCGATCACGAAAGAGTCTAGAACCATCCAATTCAACCCCTCCGGGCAGTTGTAGATTTGGTTGTGTACAACGCTGGCACATCATGCCACTACCCATGACAAGTTCATCGAAAACAAACCAGCTTCCAATTGACATGTTATTTAGAATATAGTGCTTAATGATACCGAGACCGGCAAATCGATTGAATATATCTCCCTGTGAGCAACCTTCGCAATTATCTATTGCACAAAGTAGACGAAAGGGACGAAGATGTCGAGGTGGAAAACGAATTAGTGCAGCATAGGCAGGGTATAGTGCATCAAAGAGCGAATGACCAATGTTATGAATCCATGGATAAGTAAAAAAAAGTGTAACGCCAGGTATTACCATGGGGTCAGCTAAATCAAGAACGAATTTTTCGAGGATCGAATATGAATCAAATTCAAGTCTAGTCGGAGAAATAGTCTGTGTCATAAATGGAAAGGTGCGCACGGCTAGTACTGGTAAAATCCTTCCTTTAACGATCAAAGTCATAAAAGTACGATTAATATAATACAAATTCTTGTATAGACATGATTGATTTCGTAAAGGACCAACACATCTTACAGTCGTTTCCAAAGAATTCTTTTCTCCGAGAAAGAGCGACTCCAGCCTAGACCACACATAA